TTTGACCATTTAAAAAAAAATATTCAACCGATTTGCTTGCAATTTCATAAATAAGCTTCGCTCGACCGTCCGCGAAACCTCCTAACTTTTGGAAGAAATCAGGCATCGGCAACTAGACGTTTACTACGGGCCAAATATACATTTTTGTGTATATAAAGTGAAATAATCAACCAATTTCATTGAAATTTAATATATAAATTCTTCGTATTAAAACAATGAACATTTTTTGGAAAGATCAGGACTCGAAACCTGATTTGTAGGACGATTTTACATTTTTCACCATATCTACGGAGCGAATTGATGGAATTTCTTGAAATTTGATTTTACAGTTCTAGTTTTTACCTAGACTAACTAGCACTTCAGGGAATTCGGGTAGCACAAAGCGAAATTCTACTAAGAGCCAAATTCACGTTTTTCTAGGTATGTTAACTATAAGCTTACTAATGTCCTAAAAAGTGGAAAGCAATATTTAATAGACATTTTTATAGTATTCTGTAACATTTTCACTTAGCTGGACAATACACATTGCAGTCGTTTATGTGCTGACGACATCAGATTTTTTTTATTAGTTTTTGCAGTTTGAATTTACATTTTTAATTGTTAATTATTGTATTTAAAAATAACAAAATTTCTTTTTGTTTCAGTTTTCTTTTTTTGCTTTTCTTAATTTTTATTTTTCCTAAAATAGAGTTTTGCATTGTTTGGCCCAAAATAAATACTTTTTTTGTTTTTGATAACGAAAATTTTTGCTCATTAACATAATATTGCAAATTCAAAATAGCAAAAGTTTTTATACAACTGTCAAAAATATATTGCTTATGTATCACATTTTGGTTTTGCAGTATTGGGTTTATGAAAATTTCTCATCTGATATTAATTCTAATCGTAAATTTTTCTCTAAATTCTAATCGTACTTTTTCCAATTTTCCTATTGTAAATCAAAATTAATGAATGATACTCCTTAATAGCTATATTTCGCAAACCTATGTATATAAAAATGATCTATACATTTGCCAGATGAGGCTCATTAATGAATGAAACTAAGCCATGTTCAGCAATGATATTCAAAGATGTGTTTACATCCGAATCTGTGATTTTAATATTAAGATCTCACAACAAGCAGAATTCAATTATGTTTCTGCACTAATTAAACCTGAAATAAGTTTAACATTATATCCGTAAATAAGTTTAGCATTTTATCTGTGGAAAGCAAAAATTTTTCTCGTTTCAATTAAGAATATTGCAATTAGTTATATTATTCAAATCAAAATCATCTCAAATCATTATTTACATCTCAAATCAAATCAAATCATTATTTACAACAAAAACGTATTAGAATACAATATGGTTTTTGATATTTTTTAATCTTTGTTTTTATTATTTTAAGTCATTTGATTATTGTACTGTTTATTTGATTGCGGTATACCCGTGTGACGTATAACCAAAAAATGTATCGATTCTTTTTCTTTCCGTACATGTATCACACAATGTTATTTAATATAAAACACGTGTGCTCCAATATACTTCTCTTATAACTTAAATGTAAGTAATTAAAATTTTTTCATCTTAAAATAAATTACGGTTTTTTTTGCTTTAAATAAAATAAGATTAAATAGGATCTAAAAGTGTTAAAGTTTGAAATTACAACAAAACAAATTTTTTTTTTGTAATCGAATTTAATAGTTTTGTGAGCAATATTATCAAAAGTTTAATATTTTAAAGTGATATAACTAATCGTAAAAGCCGTGCAAAAAATTTAAATTTTTAATACACTAATATCGTGCTTACAAAAAAAAAACAACAAAAATAAGCTTTTTTATAACACGGTATTAGTTATGTTGCCTTTTATGCGTATTATGTTATTATTCCAAAAATGCAATTAATGATGTTCAGGTATAGATTAAAAATTTTGTTTTCTTCTTATTTACAAAAGTGTTCTTTTTTTTATTAGGAGAACAAAATTAAAATAATTATTGAAATTAAAATTCTATTTATACGAAATTTTTTAATTATTTTTTTTTTGATAATTTGAATTAGGAAATTTTGTATTCTTAATAAACAAAAAACAAAAGCAAAAACACTTTCATAACTGAAAAAAAATAAATACACATATTATATTAACTACAATCTTCACATTTCAAAAAATCCAGGACCGGACCACAGACATCTTTATTTAAGACTTGACAATACAATTTACTAATACATTCATACGGTGTATTGAAAATTGATCATCGAACTTTTTGTTAAAAAATATATTTTATACTGGGTATTTTCGAATAAATTAGAAATGTTCATATGGTGATTTAGAATGCTCGTAAAATAAAAAACGATTAAATACAAAAAATATGCAGAAATTATTTTACTTCATTTAAATATTAACAAAATTAAATTTCTTATTCTTAGAAATTAGTTACTTATTACAGGTAACAAATTACATTACAATAAATTACAGGTAACAAAATATTTTTCAGTTAAAACCAAAATAATAAATACATATGTATAACAAAATTGTTTTTGAAAAAACTGCATGACATAAAAAAATAAAATTTTTAATAAAACTACTAGTAATATTTGATGAGAAAAGCAATTCATTTTATGACATAAATGTACCTACGTATGTATTCAACTAAATTCACAAAATTTTTTAATTTTTTTTATAAGAGATTAAATTAGATACTTATATGAATTGTTAAAATCTTAACATTAGTAGGTACTTGATTAAATTATATTTGCCACAGGCAACAAAATAAAATTTAAAGTTCTTACAAATTAAAAGCACTTCGGTGGTGCAGAATTCCTTTTTCCTAATGCTTGTATCCATTTGTTCCTGATGACTTCGTCCCTGATGACTTCGTAAGTAAATGTAGGCATGGCATTTACGTTCTTCTTTTCTCCTAGACTATTGCTTCTGCATCCTTCGACGCAACACTTTCGGGGCATTTCTATTTATATGAACCTAATCAAATATACTATTATATTTTATTTAAATATGATTACAAATAAACCACCACCAAGTCTTACTAAATTATTAAGTGATTCTTCTTTTTAAATAAATTTTAGTACTATTTTTTCAAAATCCACCTTTGTTTCATACAAAATATGACAAACAAAAGAAAATATTTATTTATAACTATTATAAATCTTCATTTTATTTAATAACACGAAAAATTAATATAATTATTCACTAAATTTAAATTAAAATTGAATTTTAAACAGCAAATAAATTATTTTACCGCAGAGCGACGCAGCCTTCCGTGCGAAATTTGTATATTGACTAAAGAATACTATAGTCTCATTTTTTGTGCATTAATTAATAGACACAAATACAAAAATATTAACATGTCTTGTACATTATAGGAGCCTATGTCTGGAGTCCAGACTCTGGACCCTGCTTTTTATACCCTGCACTTCGTGAAGGGTATATTAACTTTGGTATGGAGTTTGTAACTACTTGAAGGAGTCATCTGCGGTATGGACATATATACATATTCTTGCTCAGCGTAAAATTCTGCGTCGATTTGGACATGTCCGTCTGTCCGTCCGTCCGTCCGATCGCACGATAACTCAAAAACGTATAATGCAACCGACACCAAACTTTCACAAGTTTTTTCTTTTGTGCCAAGGACGAGCCCTATTATTATTGGACTAATTCGGACAACGGGTTCGGGTAGCTGCCATACAACTCAAAAAGTTTATTTTAAATATTTCAAAAAGTAATAAAGCTATAAATATAAAATTTTATATACATATGTCCAATTATATTCTACACATGCCCTAAAAATTATAATGGGATAGCTGCACCGGTTCGGGTGGCTGCCATACAACTCTAACAGCAAATTTTTTATATTCGGAAAAATAATAAAGTCAGATTCATGAAACTTGGCAGTCATGTGTCCAATTATAGGTCAAATATATTTCTGAAGTTTTAGAGGAATTGCTTGACAGGTTCAGGTACCTGCCGTACAACTCCAGAAGCTAATTTGAAATATTTGGAAAAATAATATAGTCAGATACATGAAACTTGACAGTTGTGTGTCGAGTTTTAGGCCAGATATATTTCTGAAGTTTTGGTGGAATTGCTTGACAGGTTCGGGTACCTGCCATACAACTAGCTTATTTTAGTCAGATTTATGAAACTTGGCAGTTGTGTGTCGAGTTATAAATCAGACATATCCGTGAAATTTCTATAGAATGGTTTCACAGGTTTGAGTAATTGCTATACAACAACGAAAGGTGCAGGGTATAATTCAATCGGTTTATATCGACCGAAACGTTTTTACTTGTTTTTTTGTACAATTTTTCAATTTTTATTTAAACGACGTCATAATTGAGTAAAAAGGATTAATCACATAAAAACCACATTTTTAAAATTTAGGTAATTCGTGTACCTGCAAGAATAAAGAACGTGTACATATATTAGGAGAAAAAAAAGCGTTCTTGTAAGCCTAAGTAATATTCGTTAATCTAACGTCAAACAATATAGGTTTCATCAACTATTTGCGCGAGATGGGAGCCTACTTTATTAAAAAAGATCTCCTACGAAACCTAGAAATTTAATTCATTTTTAAATTCTTATCCAAAACGTTAATTTTAAACTGAATGTTTAGCGCGAGTTCGTTTTGTGGACGTTTTACGAGGCAAACTGCGTTAGTACATTTATCTCCCTATATTTATAAAAACATCGAGCGGTACATTTTAATTGACAGCGAGAGAAATATTACATTTTGATTTCTAATTTTACCTTACAATGTCATCTGAGGAATGTAATTACATGTATGTATATTACAAATATGTGAAAATTCAACCCATGTTTGAAATCTTTCATTGCGAAATAGGAAAATGTACCCACTTTCTGTTCGTATTCTATATTTTACTTTACTATTATGTTGTACTAAACTAATGACCATTGAAAACCTCAATAATTGATAAGCATCATTGATATTGTTTTATATAATGATAAATGTAAAACTGTAAAACGTAACTTAAAATTATATTTTCAGTATACAGGCCGTACGCACTGTTCAATCACAAGGAAAAGTATGTGTTCTTGATATTGAAATTCAGGGAGTTGAGCAAATCCGTAATTCTAACTTGAATCCGATACTAATATTTAATAACCCACCCTCAATCGAAGAATTGGAAAGAAGATTACGAGGACGTAATACTGAAACAGAAGAAAGTTTGCAAAAACGTTTAGACACCGCACGGCGAGAAATTGAGTATGGTCGTACTCCAGGAAATTTTCATACAATCATTCATAATGATGACATTGAAAGGGCGTACAGAGAATTGAAAAAATTCATTTTGCAAGAATTGGAAGAACAGCAACGAAATGGAATAGCTTTAAACTTAAGACAGATAAATTCTTCAGAAATAAATTAAAATCTAAGATGAAGCCTATAAAGTAAAAATATACAAAAGATAAACATTTCGTTGTTTATTGAGAGTACATGCTTATACATATAAAGTGGTTCCTTCACAAACACAAAGTTTTTTAAAAGAAAGAAAAAGAAAGGTATTGTAAGAACAAAATATCTGTTTTAATTGTTATCCATTTGTTCATTTAAAGATTTCGATGAATATGAATGGTTTTAATAAAATAAAAGAAAAACTTTCATCACAATATTCGTTACAACAATACGAAAAATGGAAGTTAGTATACATAGAAAAGAAATTTTAATAATTTTTAGTGTCAAAGTTGACAAAGTTTTCGAAATTGTGTTCGCGCAAGAAAGTTTATTTTTGCGAATTTATATAGATAAAACAACCTTGTAGGTTTGAAAAATAATTTTTCTTTTATTTTTGAAAACATTATAATTCTGGTTAAAATTCTAATAACTAAATCTGTATCTTATTATAATACTAAAATCAAACTAATATAATGGACCTTATTATGAAAAAAATATATCGTACGACATACGATATTTCTGATAGTTTTTGTAGTGCTAGTATTATGAAATTTATTTACCGGTATTATATCGAACGATTTATCGTATTTCAAAAGAGCTTTTTTTTTATATAAATTTGCATGTAAACTAGCGTTTATCGTATTATGAAAAATTTATTTTTGGGATTTCCCGATAGATTTTATCGGGTAATTTTAAGTATACGATAGCACACGATAGTGATTTTACAAGTAGTTTTTTTTTCTCTAATAGGTGAAAAAATCTCGAAAGACGAAGAAGGACGGCTCTATCTGCCTTATTCCTCCGAAAGTGGGGGAGCGTGACTCCTGCCCTAAAAATTCCTAAATTCTGAACGGATAAGACTGTTCCTACAGACCAACTATTACCTCCGCGCTAACTTGGTTTGTCCGTGCAGGAATTAAATGCCTTCCATAAGGAAATTGGTATTTCGTGTTAAATCGAATGGTCTTGTTCGTTTAAGTCTTTCTGTCATAACGCCATTGTGTAGCAGCCGAGCTGCTTCCATATTTACATGCTGTTCTAGACGAGCTCTATGCTTTGTAGCACAACTCCTAATTTCATCTATAACCAAAGGAATTCCTAAGTCCCTGTGGATATCACTGTTACGTATATACCATGGCGCATTTACCATGTCCCGTAGAACTTTATTCTGGAAGGTTTGAATTTTGTTAATGTGAATCTTCTTGACACAACCCCACAGCTCAATGCCATATCGCCATATTGGTTTAATGATTTGGTTATAAATTAATATCTTATTATCTATTGCCAAATTGGACTTACGACCTAGGAGCCAATAATTTTCTCTATATTTATTTTCTAATTCTATGTGTTTCTTCTTTATATGCTCTTTCCACCTTAGCTTGACATCTAAAGTCATTCCTAGGTATTTTGCTGAATTATGGATCGCTACGTCCGTTCCATTTACATTAATTTGTGGTGGATTCACTATTTTCCGATTGGTGAAGTTTATGTGAACCGATTTTGCTTCATTCAACTTTACCCTCCAATCCCTAGTCCACGGGCTTATTTTGTTAATTGCCTCCTGTCATTTTTTTGTCGAATCGTCAATATTCGCTCCTACTGCCAATATTGCAGTATCGTCAGCAGAAGTGGCTATCGTAGCATTTTCTATTTGTGGCAAATCACTCGTGTAAAGCAGGTACAACGTTGGGCCCACTATACTGCCTTGAGGCACATCTGCCTTTATTTCTCTTAGCGTGGAGTATTCAGCATCTTGTTTAATTCTAAATCTATCATTCTAAGTAAGATTTCAAAATTTCTACAAATGACGATGGTAACATTTGCCCTAATTAAGGTATAAGACCCCTGTTCCACACCTTGTCGGAACAGGTATCTGCTCTTCTATGTCTAGAAACATAGAAGAGCAGATTTCCTTATTTTCCAAGATTTTTTCTATAATATTAGTTATTCTATGGACCTGGTCTATTGTAGAATGGTTTCTTCTAAAACCAAATTGATGGTTCGATATTAGGCCCCTTCTTTCTATTATTGGCTTCAATCTCCTTAATAGCAGCTTTTCAAAAAGCTTAGACATCATTGGTAACAGTGAAATGGGCCTGTAAGACTTTGTTTCCCTCAAGAATTTCCCGGGTTTGGGCACCATAATTACCTCCGCGACTTTCCAAGCAAAAGGAACATACCTTAAATCCATAGCTGCATTCATGATTTTCGTCAGATGTTCCAATACCTGGTCCGGTAGCTCTATCAGTACTTCCGCAGTAATAAGATCAAAACCTGGCGATTTTTTCAACTTCAGGGATCCTATCTCTTCCGCAACCTGTAATTGAGTAAGTGGAGCTATGCTGTTTGCTTCATTAGCGATAGATTCTGCCAAACCCACATCTGAGGTTATTCCGTTTGGCGTGAATATGTTTTCCAAGTGATCAGCAAACAATTCGGCTTTCTCCATATTGCTCTTCGCCCAACAGCCATTTGCTTTCATCATTGGCGAAGCGTGCCTAATTGGTCTCTTTTTGCTCCTTGCCGCCTTCCATAAGGAATAATTTGTTTCCCTCGCAGCTGACAAGTTCTTTATATAATTTTCGTATGTTTCGTATAATTCTTGGATTTTTGTTTTAAGCACCTGTGAAAGTCTGTTTAAAACAGTTTTATCATTAGGGTGACGCGAATGTTGCCATCCACGTCTGACCCTTCTCTTTTCACCTACTAAATCAGTTTTTTCTCGAGGAAAGCTTTTTGCTGTCGGTTTGTACTTTGACATTTTTGTATTGTTCCATGAAGCTCTTTGTATGATTTTAATAAATCGTTCTAACTCCACATCTAATTGCTCTCTTGATTGTATATTAATATTTACGTCAACATTGTTTATTATTTCGTATATAAAGTTCACCAAATCTGTAATGCTATCTGTTAAACTGGGCCTAAATAATGTTTTAATTATTTTTTCACTTAGTTTTAATATGACAGCAGGGTGATCCGAATTAAAATCGTAGTTATCTTCAAGGCTTAGAAAGTTTTCTGATATTTTTTTAGTTATAAAAAAGTCAATAACATCAGGAATCTTGTTAGTGTCAGTAAGCCAATAAGTAGAAGTGCTAGTGGAGTGATAGCATTAACCTAGCTCTTGAATGGCTTTTCTTAGCTCTCTTCCTCTAGTTGAGGTGATTCTAGAACCCCAATCTGTATGTTTGGCATTATAATCACCACCTATTAGATATCTGTGTCCATGCTTGTACAGGAGATCTTTAAAAGTATTTTTCTTAATGCTGCAATTTGGTGGACAGTATACAGCACCAACACTAAAGTCCTGTTTAGTCGATTTAATTTTTATCGAAATAAGCTGAATTTCAACCGTTTCTATCTTGAATTCTTCATTATGTTCTATACTTTCTTTTATTAGTATTGCACTACCTCCTGTTGGCTGATTGCTGGGATGTACCGCTTTATAGCAATCATAGCCCTTTATTTTAAGGCTCGTATAATATGTCAAATGAGCCTCCGACAGCAAACAAATATCTATATTTCTCGTTTTGAGAAAGACCTCCAATTCTTGTTTCATATTAAGAACACCATTAGCATTCCAAGTTACTATACGTACCTCATTTACGTACATCTTTTCTTAACTTCTTTGGTGTCCCCGTATACATCTCAGTGTATGCATTTTCTATTTTTAATAATCTTTTAGAGATCTCGTCAATTCTAATCAACATACTATGCATCATTTGCATAATGTCTGCGTCAATTCTTTTTATTTGTGGGGTTTTGAATATGACACTCCCTTTAACACCTTACTAGGTGCCGTCATTCTGTCTATTTTTGGAGTTCTTTGTTCATCAAATTTAACTTGGTTTTGTTTGGTTTTATTCTTTTTCAATCTTCTTTTTTGCAATTCTTTTGCAACAAAACAGCCTCATTGCAGTTCGCACATTTGGGCTGAAAATTATCCTTCTTGTTGCACTCCGCTGTCATATGATTACCAGCACATTTTACACATCTAGCCTCTCTTTGGCAAAACTTTTGTGTGCGTCCAAATCTCTGGCATCTCTAGCATTGAGGAATGGATTTGCTGATTATTAATTTCCAATGGATTTGAAGAATCTCTAATCTTTCTCCGTGCGATTCTTTCTTCTTGATGTCGTCCTTCTTCTTGGTCTTCAAAAAAAAATTCCGCTGACAACATTGTATAATTATTTTATTTTATTTAAAACAAAACTTATCTGTCGCAAACTTTTTCTTTATTTTCAAATTTTCCATATGAGTGTATCATATAAATTTAAAATCTTTGAATCTGTCAAACAAAATAGTATACACATCATTAAAGGTTTTTTTTATTTATCGTTTTCCATTAACTTATCGGCTTTGTCGGTTATTGGTTCATTATAGAACGGTAAAACATTAACGATACGACATTGTTTTCCCATATCGTATATCTCATTTTTTCATAATAAGGGCCAATATTGCAAGCGGAAAAAACTGATGGTATGCGACGGAACCCACATTTGTAGAGTTTGCGTTATTCATATTTATGAAAGATCTTGTAAAATCTAAGTACTATCTGAAAATATATAACTTTTCATCAAATGTTAAACACTTTCAGAAAGTGTTTTTCATTGTCGAAAAGACTATTCTGCTTCTATGTGACTATACGCGCGTTTTAACTTTTTGCCTTAAAAGTAAATTAAACTACGTAGTTTCTTGCAAAGTATTATCAAAATGTCATAAAAAACATAAAAAAACAATTGTTTTCAGTGCAAAAAAACATAAATTTAAGGAATAATAGTCACATACAATGTGAAGGAGAATGTAAAAACTATTATTATAGTAGTTGCTCAACATTGTTAAATGAAGATTTTGAATCTTCATTTAACATATCGTCAGATTGATCCTCTGATGCTGCAGAAACTTGAAACAATTTTGAAAAATCAGAGCTCAAATTATATTAAACTTGAATAGATGAAAATATGTAACTGCGAAATGAAACTCAGACCTTAAAAAACTCGTCAACATAAATAAAAAAGAAATTGAGAAAGTAAAGCAGGGAAAAAAAAATGGGAAAATATACAGAGATTTCTGGAATACCAGATCTTCCTAAAAGTAACCGAGTTAA